GCACGGCGACGAGCTCGAGATCCGGTCCTTTGAGCTCGGCGTCTGCGTGCAGCCCGACCGGCCAAGCGAGCTCGTCGAGCCGCTCGGAAGCGGAGAGCAGGCCGAGCGGGCGCGCCCGCCCTCGGTGTGGGCGCAGGCCATCCCTTTCCACATCGAGCGCCGCGTGCCGTGCGCCGACCCGTTTGTGAGCCGCTCGCTGACGTACACCGAGGGCAAGGCGGAGATGGGGCACCTAAACTACTGACTGCGGACGTGCATGTAAACTCTCGAAGACTCTGCTCACTTGGCTCTTGGGTATTGAAAAAAATTGTTCCAGTCTTAGCAAGCAAAAAGGAGCACACACGACTTAGCAAGTCCGCACCAGCGACTGCCACTCGCCTAACCGTGCCTCGTCACAAGTGCTCTCCCAATCGCGTACAGGCACACACACTCCGCCTGTTCTCACCCAAGCACTCTGTCACACCCTTGCCTCCCTGCCAGAGCGAGCTAGATTCTCCCCGCCTCCCTCCTGCCTCTGCCGCGCGCCTTCTATGGACGTCAAGTGCAGCACCTAGGGGGAGAGAGGGGGTTTGCCCTGGTAGGGAGGTGGCGAGGCCGCGCACTGCAAACCCAGTGTGAGGAGTGGGGGAGCTGGGACAGGGCGTGTGCGCCTCTGATCTGTCATGGTCTAGTGGCCGATAGGATCCTCCCTTAGGCAGCGATGGCGGGTCGGGAGAGGCCCGAGTTCTCAGCCCGCCACTTACTGTCAGCCTCTCTGACTGCCCAGGGTCTCACCACGATGCCGCCCGAGTAGGGGGATAAGGTGTGTAGAGTGCGGCTCTGTACTGAACCTCTCTCTGTGTGGATCCCACCTGAGCCCACTGTCTCGCGGTGCGAAGGCTCCTAATGCGGCAACTGAGCCCGCAAGGGTAGGGCACTCAGGGAGAGGTTATGTTGGATATGTTGTGTTGTGGCGTACTGCTGTGCAGCTGGCGCAGCGAGCCCTGCCACGGCTCGTCGTCGAGACTGGTCGGTGGGTGGTGCCTGTAAAGCCGTAACAGCTGAGGCAGGGAGACTTGCTCTTGGGTATTGTGCCTGGTTCTCTCACACTCTCCGCACAACGCACATTACAGTATTTTCTCGAATCTCACGCCAGAGCAATCAGGACGCGAATGGAGGCCCAGTCAGCAGCTCGGGGTCGGGCAACTTCCCAACTGCACATATGCAGAACAGACATCAAGCCTGGGCTAAACCAGGCGTGATTGATGGAAC